CCTGGGCCCTCATGGCTGGGAAGGAGGGCCCCACAGTGAAGGGGTGGTTCTGGGGCTTCAGAGATGCCTGCCACCTGGTGCGTCACACCCCGGGACCCAGTGCAGCCGAGCAGCTGCACAGTCTGCCATAGTCCTATGCAACTCCTGGGTTGGTGTGAGGTTTGGGTTGGTTTGTCAAGTTGGCTGCAGGAGAAAGGAAACAAGATGCCCCCAGCATCAGGCCACAGCCCCAAGGACTGACCAGGGCAGGAGACCAGCTTGTGGGGGCTGGAAGCTCTTATACAGACCAATTTGGCTGGTAGCCTCACACACTGGGTATGCCTGTAGCAGCTGTGCCATCTCATGCCAATGCCTTTTTACCTGTGGGCTGGTCAGATGCAGGGCCCTCAGTCTCACCCACAGCCAGGAAGCATGGGGGCCAGGAGCAGGGTCTCCTGACCCTGCAGCCTTGTCCCTGTGATGGGTAGTGATCCACGAGCCACCAGGAACAGCAGAGGCCCAGTTCAGGGAACTGGGTCCCACCCAGGCCGCCCCAGAAGCGTCTCTCCTCTGTCCCTGTTCCTTTATCTGTCCTGGGAACAGCACTGGGCAGACTGCCCCTTGGACTGCACATGCAGTGAGGACTCCCATGTGCGGCCCACAGCCCAGCACCACCCTGGGCAGTGGCTGTGGCCCTCTATGCTGCCGCATGCCTCACTCTGGCCTTGGTGCCCACTAATGTCGCTTTGGTGTCCCCATGCATCCCAGTCTGGCCTGGTGAGGAGGCTGTTGGCTTCCATGAGGCCTCCCTGCTGGCACTGGTTCTGCTTGAACTTGCTGCTGGACGAAGCCCAGCTCTCCGCTGCAGCAACCTCCTGTGGGGAGCAGGGTGGTGCTGCTGGACCAGGCAGTTGCATGTCCCTTATGTTCCAACTCAGCCAAGAGGACCAAATGTGGGAACATTTAGATACAGGAAAAGTGCCCATGATCCCCGTCCCAGAAGTGCATTTCTGGGTCATGCCCACCAGGCACCCCTGCCCTTGGCAGGGCTGTATTCACAACCTGATACCCTCTGAGTGTTGAGGTGGCAAATGGACTCTGGTGGCTGCCATGTCCCCGGGGGGCTGGGGGAGGTGACCTCTGCAACCTCCTGAGCCTCTCCTTTGGTTCTGGCCTCTGTGCTCTGGGACCCGGCCCCGTGGGGTGTGGGGTACTCCAAGGGTCCCCTGGGAACGATTCCTGGCATCTGAGGACCTGTGGAGGATAGTGGCATGTTGGCGCAAATGACTTGGTGCCTTATGGTGATGGACTTGGGTGAGTGGGCAAGTGCCTGACCGCCTGACCCGCAGCACCCCAGATGCCTTCGTGTCTGGGGCCTTAGCCCAACATCCTCAGCAGGAGCCAGGACAGCATCAGGCCTACTGGAAGCTGCGGTGTCTGGCAGGCCAGGCCCCCAGGCCTGGTGGGAGGGGGAAGGTGTGGCCCCAGTCGGGGCACAGGTTGTGGGAGCCTGGCCACACGCTCCGTGCTGAGAGCGTCTGACCTCCTCGGCCACAGGTGTTCCAGCTTGCGGCTCACCTGGTGTACTGGGGCAAGGCCATCATCATCTACCCGCTGTGTGAGAACAACGTGTACATGCTGTCCCCCAACGCCAGCGTGTGTCTGTGAGTGCCCTCCACTGCCTGGCCTGCTGGGCGTGCCCACACGGAGGCCCCTTCCCCACCCCCACGGCTCCTCTCCGGGCCCTAGTCTGGCTGTGTACTGCTCTGCCTTGCTGGTGTTGGGGCGTCCTCCCACCTGTGGAGTACAAGAGGGTCTTCTAGTCCTTGGCTCCAGAACCCACAACTGGAGGATGAGAGGGTGCAGGGGAGCATGTGCTGTGTCTTCTGACACCCCTGGAGGGAAGCTACCCTGACCCTCCCCTTTGGGCCTGTGCAGTACTAGGGTGTCCCCACCCCTCTTGACCACAAAGCCTCAGGCACACTCACGGCCCCCTCCCACAGGTACTCCTCGCTGGCCGAGCAGTTTTCCCGCCAGTTCCCAGCTCATGACCTGCCATCCATCCTCTCCAAGTTCTCCTTGCCTGTCTCCTTGTCAGAATTTAGGAACCCCTTGGCCCCCCCTGTGCAGGAGGTGAGCAGAAGCCCTGTGAGCAGGCTGTGGTGGTGCATACTGGCTCAAGTACCAACCCGACGACCCACTTTGACCCAAAGGCCACCTGCAGACCCTTTGCCATTTGCCGGTCTGACGCCCTCTCGTGGTGTTGGGTGGGTGATGCAGCATGGCTGAGAGTCCTCTGGGCCTGGTCTGTCATGACTCCAGGACTGTCCTGGGTCATGGGTCCCGTCTTCTTGTCTGGGGGTACCCTCGTTAGAGCTGGGGGGTGAACTGGCAAGCCTGGGGCAGAAGTCACCACTGATAGTCTCATGCCAAGGCAGTAGTGAGGGCTGTGGGACCCCTCTTCCCCTCTGCTGAGCGCCTGGGCCTTGAATATGGCTAGATCAGTTACTGGCTGCAGGCTGGGTGTTCTCCAGTCCTGCCAGGTCTCTTGCGCATAACCAGCTGCTAAAATCAGACCCTCTCCCTTCCCTAGCTGTGCCTAAGTTGCTGGTCCCACTCCCTGGATGATGAGGTGGAAAGAGCCCTGGGTTCCTGGGAAGCATTCCAGTCCTGCCAGGCTGCGTCTGCCCCTCCCTTCCGTGGTCTGGCTGACAGCATGGGTCCTCTATGTCCAGCGAGGCCCAGGGCCATTCCTGCAGCACCAGGGCCGGGTGCTGGGTCCCTGCTCTGGGGCACACCTAGTAAGCCTGATCTGGCTGTGCCTCTGGTAATGGAGGACTGCCCCTCACCCATGCAGCAGGTCCTACCCCAGCTTCTGGAAGCACAGGTTCCAGGTGGGCCCAAGGATAGGCTCCTACTCCCAGGGCTGTGTCTGCCCTCTCCCCCTTCCTGAACTGACTGGTTTTGCTGGCCAGGTCCAATGCAGAACCCTGTGGCTGATGGTCAGGGAGGCAGAGCCGGTGCTGCTCTGGCAACCCATGAAGGCATAAGGATTGTAGGTGTGCTCCTGGGGCTCCCCTGGCCCTTGACAGCCTGCCTGGGGCTCAGGACCTGGGGACACACTGGGGCTGTGTGTTCCAAGGGACGCCATCGGCCTGCACTCTGGGGGGTGACCGAGGGGCACCACCCAAGAGCTTTGTCCCACTGGTCCCTGGCTCGGCCCGCAGACCCAGCTCATCCAGATGGTGGTGTGGATGCTGCAGCATCGGCTGCTTATCCAGCTGCACACCTACGTCTGCCTGATGGCCTCCCCCAGCGAGGATGAGCCCCGCCCACGAGAAGACGACGTGCCCTTCACGGCCCGGGTGGGCGGCCGCAGCCTCAGTACACCCAATGCCCTGAGCTTCGGCTCTCCAAGTAGGAGCACTACCCCCATGCACCTCAGAGCAGGGTGGGGGGCCCTGCTGGGAGTGACGGGCACCTCCTGTCTGCCTGGCACAGCTGCGAGAAGGTGGCTTGTCCAGCCCACCTGTCACTGGCTTGGATTCTCTGCCCCATCACCTCCTGCAAGTGGCCATGGCATGTGCAACTAGAAAAGGCGCCCTCCCAAAGTGCTGGGCCTAGACCCCCGCCCGCCCAGGGAGCTGTGCCCATCCCCCGGTAAGGTGCAGGGTTAGCGAGGCTGCTCCCATGGCAGACACTGCTCAGGGCAGTTCAGATAGACAGGACAGCGAGTTCCAGAGGATTGCAGTGGCCATGGCTGAGGCACCCATATGGCTACTGGCTGTGCACTGCTGGTGCTGTGTTCAGCTGACTTGCTCACCCACAGCCAGCAGTGACGACATGACCCTCACCAGTCCCAGCATGGACAACTCCAGTGCAGAGCTGCTCCCTAGTGGGGACTCGCCGCTGAACAAGAGGGTGACGGAGAACCTGCTGGCCAGCCTGTCAGAGCACGAGCGGGCGGCCATCCTCAGCGTGCCTGCGGCTCAGAACCCCGAGGACCTCCGCATGTTTGCCAGGTGGGACCAGGCTGACCTCAAGCAATCCCAACTCCCTGACAACTAAGTGGCAAGCATCTCCAGCCCACAAGCACTAACAGCTGGAGCCTGCATGCAAGGCAGCCCGTGTGCCAGACCCGGGGGTCCCCAGGGCTCCCTGTAGGCGTGCAGGGCAACCTATGTGTCAGGCTTGGGGGTGCTGGTGCTCCCTGGGATCTGCTCCCTCAGAAGCAGCATGAGGGTTTCATCACATTCTGCTCCTTGCTTGGGGTTCAGCCCTGGGACGCCTCAATAAACCCCACTGTCAGGGCGTCTGCAAGTGGTTGAGGCCTCGTAATCAGGTTAACCCTTGTGGGAACTAGCCTCCAACAGAACCTTCCGGACAACTTCACACAGCTTCAGCTGCAGGCTTCCCCGCAGTGTCCAGAGTCCCTGGGTTCCCATGCCATGGCAGTCCCTCCCCACATGGCCTGCCTGCTAAGGAGTTACCCCGAGCCCCCAGCCCACACGGCCTCTTCTGGCAGGCTCTTGCACTACTTCCGTGGGCGGCACCACCTGGAGGAGATCATGTACCATGAGAACACACGGCGCTCCCAGCTGCTCATGCTCTTCGACAAGTTTCGCAGCGTGCTGGTGGTGACCACCCACGAGGACCCTGTCATCGCTGTCTTCCAGGCGCTGCTTCCGTAAGCCAGGTGAGGCCAGGAGACTCCCTTCCCAGCCTGGCCGTGTGGTGCGCTTAGACCTGCTCCAGGCACTGCCTGTGAGCCACAGGAGCAGCCAGCCAGCTCCCGGCTGCTGGCCCATCCTTGTCCACCACATGCTCCGTTCCTGCCGGTTCTCCATGGGCTGCACTTGGCCTGGCCCTTAGCGCAGCCCCAAGGCCACAGCAGGCATGGCCAAGCGACATCCTGATCTTGAGGTCACTTTGCAGGGTTGTGGATCTTGTCTACGGGGACTTCCCAGAGGAGGCCTGGACCACATGCTGACCACCAGGGGGCTCTGGCTGGGGCACAGCAATAGTTTTCTACAAATAAATCCTTTATTTGTTCAAAGTCCCATTAAAAAGCCTCACTCGGGTGAGCAGGCCCTTTGCTCAGCCATTCTGTCCACCACACTGACCCAGGGGCTTCCCTGAATGTAGAAGCGCAGGGGCTTCTGGGCCCACTCTCCTGCCTGGCCAATGCCCACCCGGGCTGCTGCCACCACAGTGGGCACTCCAGGCCCAGGGGTACTGCGCTCCAGCCACAGGGCCTCGTCCCGAGCTAGGTCCCGCTGGTCGAAGCTCTTGTCGATGGCTAGCGCCTGGCACAGCTTGGAGGGGCCACTGCAGAGCTCACGGTCCTTGAGGGCACGACCAGCGGTGCCTTTGCGGAGGGCACAGCGTAGCTGCCGCATGGCGTCCAGGCCCCCCAGGGGCTCGAGTGCACGCAGCAGCACACAGGCGCCGTCCCCTGTGAGGCAGACTGCGTCAGGGTCTGGGTTCCACTGCACATCCAGGCTGGCTTGCAGCAGTCACAGGCGCTAGGTGGGCTGCCCCTCATGTGGCTGGCTGGCCCTGGCCGCTCCACACAGAACCAAGCACCTCTCTGCTGGCCCCTCCTCTGGGGTCAGGAGAGGGACTGGGCATCAAGAACCCACCCCACCTCAACACCTGCTCTGTGCCGCCACCAGGTGCCTGCACCAGGTAGTCACAGGTCTGGCCACTGAACGCATGCCAAACCCTGTTCCTCTTCCTGACACCTCCCATCTGCTGCAGATGCAGACTGCAGCCCTGCCTGGTCGCCACAGGCTCACCAAGGCCAGAGCCTGACCTGTAGCTGTGTCCTCCCCAGGGCAGTCAGGACCAGCTGGCCTCCCAGTGTGGGCCCTCCTGTTGCCCCTCCCAGAGCCACCTGCCAGCAGCTCTGAGCTTGGGTGACCCCATGGCCGTTGCTTCGGGGTTCTGAAGCCCCTGCCTGACACTCACCTTGGCTGGACACGTTCATGCAGCAGTACATGCCGTAGATGATGTAGACATACAGGGTCCCTGGCCTCATGAACATGCCACGATTGCGGGGGGTCTGCCGGCCACCACGGGAGTGGGCTGCTTCATCCTCAGGCCCCACGTACGCCTCCGTCTCCACGATGCGGCCACGGAGCTCGGTGCCATCAGCAAGCCGCCGTACAAGGACCTGTGAGTGGTCAGTCCCTGCTCAGGGCAGGGAGGAGCCTCCTGGCTGCCTCTTGTTGCCAGGGAAACAGGAGCTGTTCAGTGGGCCACAGCCCCACACCTACACAGCACAGCTCTACCCACCGGCTGTGAAGAGCTCCCCCAGGTCAGGGCCCACGGTGCACTGCCAGCTCACATAGCAGTGATCACCGCCTGGGCCAGCCCCGTGGTACAGCAAGCAGGTCAAGCTGTCCCAGGTCCCTCCCTGCCAGGCATGTGGAAGGTCCAGCACCCCCATCTCTGTCGGTCTCCCTGTCAGCTACATAAATCTGGTTCCCATACCTGACCCAGAAACGCCCGTGCCAGGGAGACGGCTGGCTGGTTGAAGAACTCTGTCCCCAGTCTGGCAGGACTGTCCTTTGAGCTCATGAAATAGATGCTGCGCTGGGGCCCGGGGATGTGGAGAGCCTCAGCCAGCGGCCTCTGCTGCAGCTCGGCGCGCCCCTCGGCCCCCTCGGCCGGCCTCTGCTGCAGCTCGGCGCGCCCCTCGGCCCCCTCGGCCGGCCTCTGCTGCAGCTCGGCGCGCCCCTCGGCCAGCCGCCGCTTCTTGCGCCCTACCTTCTGGGACAGCTGCAGGGGCAGAGAGCAAAAGGAAGCATTGGGCACGGACGCCGTGGCGGGGCCAGGGAGCCGCGTGCGGACCTGGGGAAGGGTCCGTGGGCAGCCTCTCGGCCAGGCTCCGGGAACTGGAGGCCCGTCGGGCCGGTGTCGGCGGCGCCCCGGGAGCCATGGCCGCCCTGAGAGCCCCAAATGCCCCCGGAGCCCCGGGAGCCCCGGCAACGCTCACCCGCGCCCCGCCGCGCGCCCCCATCCTCTGACACCGCCCGCCCGCGCCTGCGCACAAGAACTGCGGAGGGGGCGGGACTATGCGTAGGAAGGCGGGGCCGCGCCTGCGCACAGGAACAGGGGCGGGGCCGACAGCACGCCCCGCCCCCGGTGCAGGATGAGAAGGGGCCGGGAGGAGGGCGCCCCCCCTCAGGGCGCACAGACGCCCCTCACGCCCCCTGCTGCCCCTCATGCCCCTGCCGCCCCTGCCATCCCTGGACCCTCAAGGGGCCGTGTTGGAGGAGACCTTGGGGACGTGACTTCCTGACCTGTGTGCCTATGCACCTCGGACCCCTTTGCACCCTTGGCCGCTGGGCCTGGCCTGCCACCCCTTCTTCAGCAGTTGTGGCCCTGGAGCCCACCCTGGAGCTGGTCCTGGAGCCCTGGAGTCCTGCCCTGGAGCTGGTCCTGGAGCCCTGGAGTCCTGCCCTGGAGCTGGTCCTGGAGCCCACCCTGGAGCCCTGGAGCCCCCCTGGAGCTGGTCCTGGAGCCCTGGAGCCCACCCTGGAGCCCTGGAGCCCGCCCTGGAGCTGGTCCTGGAGCCCTGGAGCCTGCCCTGGAGCTGGTCCTGGAGCCCACCCTGGAGCCCTGGAACCCCCCCCCCCCCAGCTGGTCCTGGAGCCCTGGAGCCCACCCTGGAGCCCTGGAGCCCACCCTGGAGCTGGTCCTGGAGCCCTGGAGCCTGCCCTGGAGCCTTGGAGCCTGCCTTCACACCTGCCCTCCCAGCTCCATGGGCCTCTCAAGCACTTCCTGGGAAGGAGGAGCAGGCGCCGGCTGGAGGTGGCCCAGCTGTGTGTGTGGTGGGGGGTGGCGCTGTGTCCCAAATCCAGGATCCAGGCCCCTTCTTACTCCTCCACAGACTCGGTGGGGGTAGGGCAGGGAGGGGTGCTGTGTGTGTTTATTGATTTCGCAAGTAGAGTTAGGGGAGGAGTCTGCGTGGGTCACCCCAGGACCCCCACTTTTCCAGATGTTCTTGCACAATCTCTGCACCCCCCCAACTTCCTGGTTTGTGGGAGGAGGTGCCCACCGCAGCCTGCAAATGGGCATCCCACCCTGAGACCACGGCCTGCCTGGCCGGGAGAAGGAGGAGCTGGGATCGCACCAGGGGGAGCCACTTCCGGCTTGTGGGTGGGGCTGAAGCTGGAGCACAGAGGCAAGGCCCTGAGTGGCCTGGGTCTGCTGGCCTCAAAGCCCGGGATTCAGCCTCAGTCCAGCTGGCCGCTGCCCAACGAGAGACCTCTCCACCAGACGTAACCACCTCTGCCCCCTCTCTCCTCTCCTGCAGGGGCTGAGCTGCCCGTGCCCCAGCCCTTAGGGGACCCTGGGCCATGGGAAGAGGGCAGCTGTTTCTGAAATAGCCTGTGACTTCAGGCCTCCGGCCAGCCAGACTCACTTCTGCCTCCTCTGCAGGCTGCCAAGGGCTGGTCGCCCATCCCTGCATCTCTGCTCCCCAGGCAGGCCCAGCTGGTTCTCATCTCTCTCCGGCTGGCCGTGAGGGCCCTCCTGGGGAAAGGGGGCCTCCTGGTCAGCGCCCCCACCCTCTGGTGTCCTGAGTGGAGTTCACAAGTCCCTGGCTGAGCCGGATAGATGCTCGTCCTCAGCCTGGGCCTACACCCCAGCTCCCAGCTCCCAGCATGCGAGGCAAGTGCACCCCCATTTACTTGGGGTGGCTGGAGGAGGAGGGGATTACCGTGTAAGTGTCTCTCACCCACAAGAGTAGGTGATGGGAGAGGACAGCAGTGTGGCTGCTCACCTGGCTGGGAAGGAGGAGCAGGCGCCGGACTGCTCAACGGACTCGGCTGGGGTATACCGAGTGTACCAATGGCAGTGTTGGCTACAGCAGCTGCCCCAGCAGGCAGCCTGGGTGGCTGAGTTGCTGGGTGTAGCCCACCTTCCCCAATGGGGACGGGGACAAAGGCTGGGGTGCATTGGATCTGGTGCCACCTGGCAGTGTGCATGGCAGGGAGGACCCACTGACATCAGCCAGCCAGCTGTGGCTGGCTTTGCAGACAGGACATGGCCACTGACCCTGGCTGCCCAGGCTGGGGCTCCAGGGCCTGGCAGGGGCTATGAGCCTGTCCTATGGCTGAGAATCTGGGCCAGAGGGCGGGGGCGTCCCGAGTGTGAGCTTCCCTCTCGCCTAGAGTCCAGGACTCCCTACCCCTCTGTGTGGCTCCCAGGGCAGCCCCTGGGGCAGGCACTGCCCTATCCTGTGACACAGCTGAAGGTCTGAGTGCAGCAAGTGGACAGCCTCCTTCGGCCAGGCCCACCGCTGTGCTTCTGATGGCCATTGCATGCGGCTGCCTCTTTGGGGGTCAGCAGCTCAGTTCTGGCAGGGCTGGTGCTCCTAGCCCCTGAGGATGTGTTGGGATTGCCAGGGCCTGGAGAGCACCCCGTGCAGCGTCCAGTGGGACCTGTGGGGAGCAGGGAGATGCTCGGCCACCCGCCCTCCTGGCAGCCCCCACCCATGAATGTCGCAGGGAGCCCTTGCTGGGAGCTGGGAAGAGGCACCCAGGCGGGCGTGCACAGTTGCGTCCCTAAGCAGGTGCTAGCGTGCAGCTTGCCGGACACAGGCGTGGGACATGTGGGCCCGTGTGTGGCCCAGGGCCAGGAGCGTGCACACACTGCCAACCCCGTCCTCCCCGCTGCCGCCGAGCAAAGGCAGGATGAGGCCAGGACTCACTGTGGCCCAGCAGACGCCGAGCAGCTCAGGGCGAGCGCTCCCGGCGCGCCGAAGCCTCAGGTGTCCTGGTGGCTGCGCTCGGCGCCCGCGCAGCCCAGCGGCCTTCCCGGAGGAGGCGGCGCGCATTCCTGAGCCCTGAGTCAGCGCGGCCCGCCCCCGGCGCGCACGCCCCTCGCCATGGCATTCCCGGGCGGGCGGGGACTCGGGCGCCCTCCCGGCCAGCGGCGCAGCCCCTCCCCGGCTCTGGCGGCGGCGGTGAGTGAGCGCGTCCAGGGCGCTCCGGGCCGGCTCAGGCGGCCACACTTTTCTTCCCGGAGTTTGCCGAGGCGGGCCCAGCCCCCGGGGTCCCCACTCAAAGCTGCAAAAATAGCACGTCCCGGCGGCCGACCCTGCGCGCCGTCCGGAGCCCGGTGGCCCCGCAGCGTGTTCCGGTGGGTGGGGCCCGGGGGCGCTCCCGGTGGGATGGGCGGGCAGCCGGGCCGTGTCCTCGCCGAGGGCGGCGGGTGGGGCGGCCCCCGGTAGCCCCCTCTGAGGCAGCTGGGGCTGGGTGGCGGTGGGCAGGGGACTCCTGGGTGGCAGCCTGGGCCTGCGCAGGCCATGCGGGCCAGGGCGGGAGGCCTCGGCCTGCACTGGGAAAGCCCCCTGCCCCCACTGGGGACTTCCTGTGGAGTCCGGGAGAGGATTCGAGGATGAAACTGGCTTTTCAGGTTTAGCCCGGCTGGGGCCCAGCGGTCCTGGGCTGGGCTCTGGGCACCCAAGGCTAGGAGGATGCCGGGAGTCCAGCAGCAAGGGGAAGGCTGAGGCCCCTGACTGAGTGCCCGGCGGGAGGCAGGGGCCTCCCACTGCAGAGCCCCCTCCTTGGGGTCCCCACATCTCTCCTTCCCACCTTGGTTTAGGGGGACCCTAGGTCTGTGGGCCTTCCTGCTCTGCGCACAGTGTCTATTGTGACAGCTTGGCTTAGTGGCTCTTCTGCCTGTCCGATGCTTTGGCTGTATTTGGGAGTGTGGGCTCGTGGCCTGCTGGGGCCTGACAGTCTGCTGCACCCCATGGCCAAAACTCCGGGGTTAGGGGACCTCCTCCTGCTTGCAGGGGAATTCTGCAGTGGGGGCCAACCAAGGCTGCAAAGACTCAGCAGGCTCTGTGACCTGGATGGTGGCTGGCCTGAGCACCTGTAGGGTGGACACTGAGGCCCTGTCAGGGCCTGTGGCAGCCTGGGCATCCCTAAGGATCGGGCCATGTACGGACTGGGTCCCCACTGGACCCCAGCCTGGCGTAGTCTGGTCCCACTTGGTGACCCAGATGGACCCCCAGTCTGTCACCGTTGGGGTACCTGTGCCATGGTCTGTCCACCCTGCCCTCTCACCTACCCCCATCCAGGTCACAGCCTACAGGAATCTGTGCCCTAGGCTTGGGGCACTCCGCCTGCCACCGTGATTTCCTTGCTGGACCCTGCAGGCCTGGGGGAGGGGCTGAAAAGATGTTGGGGGTACACCATGACAGCCACAGCAGCCACAGCAGCGGGTGAGCCCTGACCTGGCCCAATGTGAAGCATCACAGCCGGGGGTGGGGAACGCCTTGAGGTTTGCAGTGTTTTCTAGTCACGGCCCTTGCCGAACTCCACATGATTTACAAGGACTGGATACGGGCTTCCAGACAGCTGGAGATCCCTTCTCTCCAGGGGGGCTGGGAATCCAGCCTCTGGCTCATGGTCAAACAGGAGCCTGAAGGTCTGAGACCAGGGTACCCGTGGGGACGCTAGAGCAGCCGGTTCCCCCAGGGGCCAGGCTCAGGACACACCTGCACAGGTGGCCCAGATGGGGGCTAGGCAGGTGAGAGGGCAGGGCGGACAGTGATGCAGGGGTCCCAAGAGTGACAGAGGTCGGGGATCCATCTGGCCACTGGCAGAGCCGGGCCCCAGTGGTGGCTGTCCTGGCTGTGGGGGTGGCCATCTCTGAGCCCCTCTGCCAGCATGCAGAGTGTGGAGGCAGCTGCTGGTACGTTGAGCTTGGCCAGCTTGGTCCTGGTTGTTTGCTGCCTCTTGGCTGTGCCTTCCGGGGCCTGGTCCTTGGCAGTGTATGGATCTCAGACTGCCTGCTGCTCAGCCTCCAGTCATGCCTGCTCGGGGGCGACCTATTCCCATTGCTATCAGTGTCTGTGGGACACCCCAGCCTTTCTGCCATTGTGTGGGTGCCTGGTGATTCCCTCAGCTGTGGTTAATCTGGAGTTAACCACACGCGCTATAGCCCAGGTGTTCACCACCTTCTCTGCCCCAAGGCCAGCATGAAGCTTCTCCAGGGAGGAGCTGGAGTTGGGACCGGCATGCCAGGCCCGCCTGTGGGCAGGGCAGCTTCCGCAGGACCTCTGCCATCCCAGTCTGTCCTGGCTCAGGGCTGCTGCACCCAGTCCCCTTCCTGTGCTGGCGTTTCCAGTGTTTGGTCTCCTGGTGGTGCTGGGCCGGGGACCCGCTGATGTGTTTGGAGCTGCCATAAGCACTCTGGCCTCCATTCCAAGGGGGCAGCGGCAGGGGTGCTGCTGGGATTTGCCCTCAAGGAACTGTCTGGGAACAAGAGCCCACTGTGTGCTGGCCACGCTGGACACTGGGCTCTGTGTCCCCTGGGCTGCCCTCCCCCACGCCTGCAGTGGGGGGTCTCTTTGGGCCTCATGAACCCCACTCTCTGGAGGCCAATAGCAGGCTGGGTTGTCACAGAAGGGGTTTAGGAGTGGGTGGGGGCCTCAGGTGAGCTGGTGTCCTGTGGCCCCTCTGACCTCCCAGCCAAGGGGCTGCTCCTTCCAGAAGCCCCCGTCAGCCTGTGCTTTCCTAAAACTACTGTCCACTGCAGCGGTTTCTGGGGCAGATGTGTCCTGGGCATGGGGAAGCTAAGGGAACAGGCTTCAGGATATTCTGCTTGGCTAAGGGAACGCAAGGGAACAGGCAAGAGGCCCCTCCCTGGGCCTGCAGGTTCCTGGGGTGCACCCGTCTCGCTCTCTTTGGAAAGTGTGGGGATAATAACAACTCTGCCAGGGGTGTGAGCCACCACGCTGGTGCAAGCTGTGGCCATGCAGTGGAGGCGGCATAACTTGTCCGCTTGGATGGCCGGCATCTGGTCCCTGGCCTCCTCCAAGTTCCTGTTGGGTACAGCAGCCCTGGGGGATGGGGATCAGATACCCCCCCAGGGTGCACAGGGCACCCCCACAGGCCTGGCATGACTTGAACGCCCGGTCAGTGTCAGGCTTGGAGGCTGCCCTACCAGCCATCTCTTCTCCACCAACAGCATTTTTTGTAGGTTTTTGGGGTAGCATTGTGGAGTAATGGGGTAAAGCCGCCACCTGTGACTGTGGTATCCCGTATGTATGCCCACTGGAGTCTCGGCTGCTTCACTTCAGGTTAGCTTCTTCTTAATGTGACTGGGAAGAGCAGCGGACTCGGGACCCTTCCCGTGTGGGAGACCTGGAGGAAACTCCTGGCGTCAGTCTGGCCCAGCCCTGGCTCTAGCAGTCATCTGGGGAGTAAATCAGCGGTTGGAAAAATAGCTGTTTCTCTCTCTTTCCCTCTCTGTAACTCCCGACTTTCAAGCAAACAAATACATTTTTTTTTAAAGATTTATTTTTTATTATTTTTTCATTGGAAAGGCGGATATACAGAGAGGAGAGACAGAGAGGAAGATCTTCCGTCCGATGATTCACTCCCCAGGTGAGCGCAACGGGCCGATACTATGCCGATCCGAAGCCAGGAGCCTCTTGCGGGTCTCCCACGCGGGTGCAGGTTCCCAAAGCTTTGGGCCGTCCTCGACTGCTTTCCCAGGCCACAGGCAGGGAGCTGGAAGGGAAGTGGGGCTGCTGGGATTAGAACCGGCGCCCATATGGGATCCCGGGCGTGCAAGGCGAGGACCTTTAACCACTTGCGCCACTGCGCCGGGCCCAAATAAATACATTTTTATAAAGACTTATTTGCTTGAAGGCAGAACATGGGGTGGGGTGGGCGAGATCCTTTATCCGCTGGCTCATTCCCCAAATGAGCTCAGCAGCCAAGGCTGGGCCAAGAACTTCACCAGGGACCCCCAAAGGGCCAGGAACCCTACAGTGTCTGGCCACCCTCCATTGCTTGCTGGGTGCAGCAGCAGAACAGCTGGCACTGAGCTGGCATTCCGATGTGGACTTGCAGGTGGCTGCTTAGCTGTGGTGTCCGCCTGTAGCGGACAGAGCTGACCGGTGGCACGTCTTGGCCCTGTCCTCTCAGGGCTGCTCTCAGTTCTCAGTAGGGCGCCTTCTGGTTAGTGGCTGTCTGCCTGAGGACTTGAGGCCCAGTATAGAGACAAGGTGGCCTTGGGCCTGAACCTGCATGCATGCTCCATGGGTTGGGCCTGAATCCTAACCCTGGCTGAGAGCTGCCTGCAGCTGGCTGACGAGAGGCACACAGTCAGAGGAGGCTGACTGTGTGGAGGGCAGGACCGCTGGGAACTGTGGTCAGTGTCCCTGGCCTTTGCCTGCTGATGCTGCCTCAATTTCCCTTTGTCTCAGCCGTGGAGGGGAAGCGGTGCCTGAGGCCTCTGGGGTTGGTTTTGCTGTCTGCACTGCTCTCCCAGGCTCTGGCCTCAGCCTGTGGTGTCTGTGTCCTACATGGAGCAGGTATACAGATGGGCCACAAAGGGGAAGGGCTTGCTGTGGAGGCCATGGCTCATGTGACTTGACGCAGCAGTGGTGGCCCCAGTCCAACAATGGCCTCTGCTGTGTGGTCCTTCTGCTAGGTGCTCACCGGGAGTCCTCTGAGGGGCGCTGCAGAGCAGCCTTGGTGTCCACAGCTGCAGGTAACATTCCTGCTGGCGGCCTTTCTGTTCCCCCTTTGTGCAGTGTGTGGCGTGGTGGTCCAGAGGCTGAGGTTTGCCTTAAGAACAGAATGGTTAAGCTCTGAGCTCACAGGCTCCGGAGTCACCTCATCCCCAGCATGCACCCATCACCTGCCTTTCAGTGACTGAGTCTCGTGATCTGAAATGCGGAGGGAGCCTTGGATCTGAAGTCCCCACCTCTGGGTCTCCTGGCCCCAGGAGCATGGCTGTGAGAGGCAGCCATCCTGCATGCTTTTCACAGGTGCCACTCCCTCACAGGTGTTGTCGTCTGAAAGCTGAAGAAGGGAGAAGCTTGTGTCCCCAGCACTGCTGGACCACCTCGCCACAGCTCTGGGACTTTCGGGATGAGTGGGACAGACTCCGGGTGTGGGTGCAGCTGTGCCGCGGGATTCTGCCCCTGGGAGCCCTAAGCAGCCAGCTCCCCTGCAGGGTTGGTGCGCCCTGACACTCCCTTCGGCCCCCGGCCCGCAGCCATGAGCGAGGTCCGCCGGGATAGCACGAGCAGTCTGCAGCGCAAGAAGCCGCCCTGGCTGAAGCTGGACATCCCAGCCGCAGCCCCCGCAGAGGAGCCCGGTGTCCTGCAGGTAGGCCCTGGCCCGTGTGGGCTGAGGGTGCGTTCTGCACGGCCTCCTCACCACGCCCCTGTCGCCCAGCCCCTGCGGCGCCAAGCTTTCCTGAGGAGCGTGAGCATGCCGGCTGAGACCCATGCCCCCTGCGTGTACCACGAGTCCCGACGGCCTGCGCTGCAGCGCCAAGCCTCCATCACACAGACCATCCGCAGGTACACCCAGCCCTGGCCATGGGGCCCTCGGGGTGCACGGCCCCTCTCTGCCCTTCCCCCGGGGCTCAGTCTCTCCTTCTCTGTCTCCCTGTGTGCCAACACTCTGGCCCTCAGCAGCCGACAGGTGCGCTTTGGGTGTGTCCACACTCTGCCCCTCTTGGGTTACCAGGCTGCCCGCAGGGCCCTCCCACAGCGCCAGGCTCTTTCCCGGTCCCTGCTCAGGTATCTCATGCAGGTCATGTGTGTGCTGCTGTTCTCTGGCATGTGCATGGCATGTGGCCTCATAGGAGCTGCCCAACTGGCTGGTAGTGCCTGGAGCTCCTCCCAGGGCAGGTGCTGCCATTGTTTCCTTTGCATGTCCCAGGGCTGCTGCACAGCCCCAGCCCCACGGCCTGAACTGTCGGGTCCCTCTCTGGTCTCGATGTCTACCCTTCAGGGCCAGGGGCAGGACAGTTAGGAAGCCCTCAGCTGGGCTAGTGGAGTGCTGCCCCTTATTGAGTCCCCCCCTGTGCCAGGGGCACCGCCGACTGGTTTGGCGTGAGCAAGGACTCCGACAGCACTCAGAAGTGGCAACGCAAGAGCATCCGTCATTGCAGCCAGCGCTATGGGAAGCTGAAACCCCAGGTCATCCGGGAGCTGGACCTGCCCAGCCAGGACAACGTGTCTCTGGCCAGCACTGAGACCCCTCCTCCGCTCTACGTGGGGCCATGCCAACTGGGCATGCAGAGGGTATGCCTGCTGCCACCTCCTGGGTGCTGGGCTGGGAGCCTTGCCAGCTTCAGCAGGGCTGGGCCATGTGGAGCAGATCTGGTGGTTTGAGAAGGCAGTTTGGATGGTCGCTGGGAGAGGGATCACAGGTCCCAAGGAGCAGACAGAGCCCAAGGTTGCCTGGTGGTGTGTCAGCACTGGGCGGGCAGGTGTCTTAAGCTGCCCAGGTGGGAAAGGGATTCTGGAGGTGTCGGAGCTGCCCAGGAGTGGTGGGCACCTGTGTGGCTGGGGGAGCTAGCAACCCCAGAGCCCTAGCATCCTCTTCCCAGCAACCCAGCGCTGCATGTGGCCTCTCACTCCCCTAGATCATAGATCCCTTGGCCCGTGGCCGGGCCTTCCGTGTGGCCGATGACACTGCCGATGGCCTGAGTGCCCCGCACACCCCCATCACGCCGGGGGCCGCCTCCCTCTGCTCCTTCTCCAGCTCCCGCTCCGGCTTCAACCGGCTCCCACGGCGGCGCAAGCGTGAGTCGGTGGCCAAGATGAGCTTCCGGGCGGCTGCAGCCCTGGTGAAGGTGGGTGCCTGCCGGGGCAGGGCAGAGTCAGGGGGGCCAGGGCAGGGTCAGGGGGGCAGGGCAGGATCAGGGGGGAGGATCGGGGGGCAGGGCCACCTGGCCCGTGTTACCTCCTCCTCCTGTTCAGGGCCGCTCTGGGAGGGACAGCACCCTGCGGCGGGCCCAGCGCCGGAGCTTTACGCCAGCCAGCTTCCTGGAGGAGGACACAACCGACTTCCCTGACGAGCTGGACACATCCTTCTTTGCCCGGGTAAGTGGAGGTTGGGTGGCAGCTTCTCACCCTCTTGTCTGTGTACAGCCTGACCTCTCATGTTTGTTCAGGAAGGGGTCCTCCATGAGGAGCTGTCCACCTATCCGGACGAGGTGTTTGAGTCCCCATCGGAGGCAGCGCTGGCTGACTGGGAGAAAGCCGCAGAGCAGGCCGAGCTTACTGGGGGCGCCCTGGGCCGCAGCGAGTTGGAACGCAGCCATCTGATGCTGTGAGTGGGGTGGCCAGGCAGCAGGGGACTGAGGGTGGGCAGCTCCGGGGCCAGACTGCCCACCCGTGAGGGGTGACTGTGGTCCTAGGGTTTGGCTGGGATCAATAGGAAAGCAGCAAGTGCCATGGTCACTTCCTGGGGTGCAGAGCCCCTCCTGGGCCCTGCCTCTCTAAACAACTGCCCCAGCCCAAATTCGCCCAGCTGGGTTGGGGACAGGATGGGCAGGGCAGGGACCCTGGGCCAGAAGGTGAATGTATGGCCTCCCGTCCAGGCCCTTGGAACGCGGGTGGCGGAAGCAGAGGGATGGCGGCCCTGGAACCGCACAACCCAAAGTGCGGCTTCGGCAGGAGGTAGTAAGCCCGCCAGGGCCCAGGCGGGGCCAGCGCATCGCCGTGCCTGTGCGCAAGCTCTTTGCCAGGGAGAAGCGGCCCTATGGCCTGGGCATGGTGGGGCGGCTCACTAACCGCACCTATCGGAAGCGCATCGACAGTTACGTCAAGCGGCAGATTGAGGACATGGACGACCACAGGTGGGCCTGGGGGCTGTGGGAGGTGCTGGGTGGGGGGCACGGCCCCTGCTGACACTCACTGCCCCTGCACAGGCCCTTCTTCACCTACTGGCTCACCTTCGTGCACTCTCTGGTCACCATCCTCGCCGTGTGCATCTACGGCATCGCGCCTGTTGGTTTCTCCCAGCATGAGACTGTGGACTCGGTGAGCCCTACCACCCTGCCAGCCTCAGACCCCTGCCGCCCCATCTACTTCTAAGCTGCTTTTCCCGCGGTGCAGGTGCTGCGGAATCGGGGCGTCTATGAGAATGTGAAGTACGTGCAGCAGGAAAACTTCTGGATTGGGCCCAGCTCGGTGAGGGCACCGCCTGCAGAAGGGTCCAGGAACTGGGGGGGGGGTATCCTGGCACCCATGGTTTCACATGCCTCTCTCCCACAGGAGGCCCTCATTCACTTGGGTGCCAAGTTCTCGCCCTGCATGCGCCAGGACCCACAGGTACACAGCTTTATTCGCGCTGCGCGGGAGCGTGAGAAGCACTCGGCATGCTGTGTGCGCAATGACCGCTCGGGCTGCGTGCAGACGTCAGAGGAAGAGTGCTCGGTGTGTCCCTGGTCCCCACAGGGCTCCCTTATTCAGACCGTGACAGACTCACCTGAGTTAGCCTGCACTGGACCTGTCACACAAATCCCTGTGGGTTGCCGTGAGAGAGCAGAGGGGTCCTGTCACTCTCCAAATGTGGACTTGGTTGGTGTCTCCCGTGTGGGTGTACCATCTTGCTCTGTTTTCCCAGGCTGGAATGGGAGCAGAGCAGAGCTGCGGAAGTTTGAACTGGTGCTCCGATGTGGGTTACTGACTCAGCTGGTTGTGCACGACGCCGGCCTGACTTGAGTTTTGGTTTTTCTAGCTGGCGTACTCTGGGTGCTTCCTGTTTGTGGGGGTATCTTCGCATTCCTGCAAGTGGCATTGCCTTTTTTCTTTTTAAGATTTTTTTGTTTTGATTGGAAAGTCAGATATTTATAGAAAGAAGTAGATATAAGATCTTCCATCTGCTGTCTCACTCCCCAACTAGCTGCACTACCAGGGGCAGGGTTAGGCTGAAGCCAGGAGCTGGACCCTAGGAGGGAGTGAGGACTCACCCCAGTGCTGGGAAATGGGGTTAGGGTTAGAGTATCAAGCGCAGCCTAACACACTGTGCTACAATGCTCATCCCCCGAGAAGCTTCATAGTAGAAGATTCAGCTAGAGTTTTTTTTTTTTTTTTTAAAGATTCGTTTATTTTTATTGGAAAGGCAGATACAGAGAGAAGGAGAGGGAGAGAGAAAGATCTTCTATCTGCTGGTTCACTCCCCAAATGGCTGCAGTGGCTGCAGCTCAGCTGATCTGAAGCCAAGGTCTCCCATGTGGTGCAGGGTCCCGGGCTTTGGGCTGTCCTCCACTGCTTTCCCAGGCTACAGGCAGGGAGCTGGATGGGAAGTGGATCAGCTGGGACATGAACTAGTGCACATGAGATCCTGGCAGATGCAAGGCTAGGAATTAGCTGCTAGGCAACCGTGCCAGGCCCATACCCAAGCTTTTATCACATCAGCCACAGGGCACTTAATGAATTAATAAAAACATAAGAGATCTTGGGCCCAGTGCGGTGGCGCAGTGGTTAAGGTCCTCGCCTTGCACGCCCAGGATCCCATATGGGCACCGGTTCTATCCCGGCAGCCCCGCTTCCCTTCCAGCTCCCTGCCTGTGGCCTGGGAAAGCAGTCGAGGATGGCCCAAAGCTTTGGGACCCTGCACCCATGTGGGAGAGCCAGAAGAGGCTCCTGGCTTCGGATCGGCATAGCATCCGGCTGTTGCGCTCACTTGGGGAATGAATCATCGGACTGAAGATCTTCCTCTCTGTCTCTTCTCTTAAAAAAAAAACATAAGAGATCTTTTTGGTGCAAAAAAATGGAAAATGGCAAGATATATATATATATATATATATAATATATATATATTTAATTTACTTGAAAAATAATTATCTTCCATTTTCTTGTTCACTCCCTAAGTGGCTCCACAGCAACAGTCAGTGCTGGACCAGACTGAGGCCAAGAGCCAGGAACTTCATCCTGGTCTTCCATTGTGCCAAGCAGTTGGACTATCCTCTACTGCCTTCCCAGGGGCATTGGCAGAGAGCTGGGTGGGAAGTGGAGCAGCTGGGTAGGACTGGATCTGGTGCTGGCATTCCAGGTGGCAGCTTAGCATGCTGTGCCACGACCCAGCCTGGCCCTCCCAGGGACCTAGAGGATTCACCTGCAGCTTCTATAAGCTGTAGTTGCACATGAATAGGAATTACGCTGCTCAGCCCCTGGTGCCAGGATCTCCCATACCACAGGCCTTCCAGGGTTGTCCACCCAGAGGGAGACTGTCTGCGCTCTGTCCTGGGCCCCATGTTCAAGGGCTGGGCTCCGAACCCTAGTCTCCCCACAGTCCACCCTGGCCGTATGGGTGAAGTGGCCTGTTCATCCCAGTGCACCTGACCTTGCTGGCCACAAGAGGCTGTTTGGTTCTGTCTGCCACCAGGACCCCAGGTGGGTCTGTTGGGCTCTTGCTGGGGGCTTGATGGGGAGGCTGCAGGGTTCCCCCTGTTGTGGTGGGTTGGGAGAGGGGGCAGTGACAGGGTCTGACCATGTTAGCCTCACGCAGGGTATGTGATGAGCCCTCCTCTGAGGACCCCCATGAGTGGCCAGAAGATATCACCAAATGGCCGGTGAGCTGGGGTGCTGGCTGTGGGGAGGAAGCTGTATGCCGCCAGTTCATGATGGCAGAGACTGCCCCCTCAGGTCTCTGTGCTTTAGGAGGTCTGAGGCTGTGGCTCCATGCTGGCAGGGAGCCCGGGTGAGGCTCAGGGGTGGGGGGTCAGGGACACCTTATTTCTCCCTACTGGCCCACACGCCTGTGGTGAGGCCATGGTTTAAGGGAGCCCCTGACCTAGCTTACTCCTATCTCTGACCCAGATCTGTACCAAGAGCAGTGCGGGCAACCACACCAACCACCCCCACATGGACTGTGTCCTAACAGGCCGGCCCTGCTGCATCGGCACCAAGGGCAGGTGTGTATATGGGGGGTTGTGCACCTTGGGCCTTCAGAGTCATTGCACACCCTGGGATTGCACTCCCTCCTTCTCCAAATCCCGAGACCATCCTGGATAGCACAGGATATGGGCCAGGAGTCTAGACTGCTCTCAGGACTGCAGCCAGGCCTGGCTGCCCCAACATGGAGCTCATCTTACTCTGGACCCTGGCTACCTCCAGGTGCGAGATCACCTCCCGAGAGTACTGTGACTTCATGAGGGGCTACTTTCACGAGGAGGCTACACTGTGCTCCCAGGTAGGCCCAGGGGGTGCCCAGGGAGCGCCTCCCTCCCCACCCCTGGGCACCGACAGTCACTCTCTGCAGGTGCACTGCATGGACGACGTGTGTGGGCTCCTCCCCTTCCTGAACCCCGAGGTGCCCGACCAGTTCTACCGGCTGTGGCTGTCCCTCTTTCTGCACGCTGGGCAAGTGATGCCGGGCCAAGTGGGTGGTCCTGGACCCCAGGAGCGGGTGGCTGCCTCCCTGCTGAGTGCTCCCTCCCGACCCCCCACAGGATCCTGCACTGCCTGGTGTCTGTCTGCTTTCAGATGACAGTCCTGCGGGACCTAGAGAAGCTGGCGGGCTGGCACCGCATTGCCATCATCTACTTACTGAGTGGCATTACTGGCAACCTGGCCAGCGCCATCTTCCTGCCATATAGGGCAGAGGTAAGCTGCCCTCCCCACAGCCCCGGGTCGGGCTGGGGCCACTGCCCTGTGGGCTCATGGGCCCTGTCCCTGCCCCCAGGTGGGCCCGGCTGGCTCCCAGTTTGGCATCCTGGCCTGCCTCTTCGTGGAGCTCTTCCAGAGCTGGCAGATCCTGGCACGGCCCTGGCGGGCCTTCTTCAAGCTTTCGGCCGTGGTGCTCTTCCTCTTCGCCTCCGGGCTGCTGCCCTGGATCGACAACTTCGCCCACATCTCAGGCTTCGTCAGCGGCCTCTTCCTCTCCTTCGCCTTCCTGCCTTACATCAGCTTCGGCAAGTTCGACCTGTACCGCAAGCGCTGCCAGATCATCATCTTCCAGGCTGTGTTCCTGGGGCTCCTGGCCGGCCTGGTAGTTCTCTTCTACGTCTACCCAGTGCGCTGCGAGTGGTGCGAGGCCCTCACCTGCATCCCCTTCACCGACAAGTTCTGCGAGAAGTATGAGCTGGACGCACAGCTGCACTGACTGCTGGAACCCGCGGCAGCATTTCAGCTAGTCCGTGTGGCCAATAAATGTACCGGGAGCGTTTTAGCTGCCACCAACTCGACCCCAGCTGTCTCCTTCTGGGTTCCTGGGCAGGACCGTGGAGGCCTCCTGCAACGCCCTGGCCTCACTCCACACCCAGAATGGGCAGCCAGTCACCTCTCAGTGATGCCCTCAGCACCCCCTCCTTGGAGGGACTGGGGCTTTAACCCAGCAGCTTGGGCTTCCACCGCCTGCTGCTTCTCCCTGACAGAGGAAGGGTCCAGCCATAGCCATGTGGCCTCTCCCCTACACACTCAGGAGGCAAATGCAGCAGGCTGCGTGGAGATGGGGGTGACAGGACTGACCAGTAGCAGCTTTTTGCTCTCAGCACCTACTTCTCTCTAACCACAAGCCTTGGCTTCTCACCTTCTTTTTTCAAAAGATTTATTTTATTTTGAATAGCATAGTTACAAAGTGAGGAGAGAATTCTGTGTGCCGGTTCACTTCCCAAATCCAAACTGGCCATGATGGCTGCATCCGAGCTGATCCGAAGCCAGGAGCCAGGAGCTCTGGGTCTCCCACATGGGTGCAGGGTCCCAAGGTTTTAGGCCTTCCTCTATTGCTTTCCCAGGCCACAAGCAGGGAGCTGGATGAGCAGTGGAGCAGCCAGGACTTGAACCAGTACCCACATGGGATGCTGGTGCCACAAGCAGAGTATCAATGTGCTATGCCACGACGCTGGTCAAGGCTTTCACATCCTAAATGCCGGAGCAAACAGGGCCAGGACCTACAGCCCCGGGGTCCCTGCTGTGCGACTGGGCACAGCTCCATGAGGCCACGGCACGGTCTGTCCTGACCAGCAAACGGGGAGGTGTCTGTCGAGGCTCACTTTTGCCTCAGCTTCTTGATGAAGGACACCTCGTCCCGGTTGCGGATGCCATAGCTGAAAGTGGAACATGAGCAGTACTTGGTACCCCGCCCAAGGTCTGTATGAGGGTGGAGGTGGGTGAAAACCAGCAGGTCGCCCCCACCCTTGAGACCCCCAGAGCTTCCTGCAGGATGGCAGGCGAGCCTGGCTTACTCGCGGAGCTTCTTTCGATCATCTGCGAGCTTCTCCCCTGCGGAGATCAGGTGGTTCGTCCTCCACACGTAGGACCTGCAGCAGGGAACGGCGGAGGGCGGCTAGGGGAACTACCTACCTGGAGAGGGCAAAGGGCCTGGGGCAGCCGTGTCTCCCCATGGGCTCTCGGGACCAGCAGCCGTTGGGAGCCCGCTCACCAGCTGATGTGCTGGACGCCCCCTTCGCGCTCTTGCTTGAGCTGCACGTGTCTCTGGATGGCCTTCTTGAGGTCGAGGACAGTGGCGTTCTGCACCACGACCACAGCTGCAGGCAACGCAGGCTGTGGTGGGATGCCCCTCCAACACCACACTCTGCACCCCAACCCCGTCCCTGGGATGCTCCCTACGTCCAAACATCCCACCCCCTGCACCCCAACAGCCTGGTCACAGCCCGGCCCGCTGGCAGCACTCACGCATGACCTCGCCATCCATCTTGCACACTCGGACTGTCATTGCTTGGCCATATTCCAGGGCAATCTGGGAATTGACCTCCTCCAGAGTTACCTAGCGAACACCAGGGGATGTGTGTGAGGGCCTGGCCTGCCCCCGGCCTCTGCAGGAAAGGGGCAGGTGGGCAGGGGCAGGGAGCATGTGGGCCGAGGGGCGGGGGGCATGGGGAAGGGGGCATGTGGGCAGGGGTGGAGACAGTGGACATGTGAGCAGGGCCATGTGGGCGGTGGACAAGTGGGCAGGTGGGCTCAGTCCCCGGAGGCTGCCAGGCTGACCCGGGGGTCCCGGCAGCTCTCTGATTGGCGCCCAGGGCCGTCTGACCCTCCCGGCCTGACCTGGATCGGCAGGTCGCAGAGCAGCGGGTCCTGCACCACCATGGCCAGGCCCTCCTGGAACACGTCCATCGCCTCCGAGTGCGGCAGCGCCTCCTCCTCGTCCTCGTCTTCGGGCCCCGCGGCCGCCGGCGCCTCCAGGGTTACGGATGGGGTCGCGGGCTTAGGGTGAAGGGTTACGGATGGGGTCGCGGGCTTAGGGTGAAGGGTTACGGATGGGGTCGCGGGCTTAGGGTGAAGGGTCACAGGTAGTTTAGGGTCTCCAGCGACCGCCGCCACTCCATGCCTGGGAGGCGCGACGCGCTCAGGCTAGTCTGCGTGAGGGCGCCCAGCCAATGGCGCTTCGGGAGAAAGGGGCAGCTGCGGCGGCCAATGAAAATGCGAGCCGGTCTGCCGCAGGGCCGCCTGGGAGCGCAAGATCGGGTCTGTGGATTGGCGGCTGCCAGCGCGGAGGGCTTCCGGCAGGGGCGGGGCAGCTTCCGGCGGCCGGCGCCATGCTGCTGTTCTGCCCGGGCTGCGGCAACGGGCTCATCGTGGAGGAGGGACAGCACTGCCACCGCTTCGCCTGCAACACCTGCCCCTACGTGCACAACATCACGCGCAAGGTGGGCCCCTCGCTCCCGCGGCGCCCTGGTTCTCGCCTGGGGGAGCGGCCCGTCCTCGGCTGCCGCCGTCTTCCCTCGTCCTGCGGAGCTGTGATCCCGGCCAGTCCCGCTGCTCGGGGTCCCCTGTCCCTTGCCCTGCTTTCGGGGTCCCCTGACCTGGATGCGCTGTTTGGGGTCCCCTGTCCCTTGTCCCGCTGCTCGGGGTCGCCTGTCCCCTGTCCTGCTGTCGGGGTCCCCTGTCCCCTGTCCCCTGTCCTGCTGTCGGGGTCCCCTGTCCTGCTGTCGGGGTCCCCTGTCCCCTGTCCTGCTGTCGGGATTCCCTGTCCCCTGTCCTGCTGTTGGGGTCCCCTGTCCTGCTGTCGGGGTCCCCTGTCCCCTGTCCTGCTGTCGGGGTCCCCTGTTCTGCTGTCGGGATCCCCTGTCCCCTGTCCTGCTGTTGGGGTCCCCTGTCCTGCTGTCGGGGTCCCCTGTCCTGCTGTCGGGGTCCCCTGTCCCCTGTCCTGCTGTCGGGGTCCCCTGTTCTGCTGTCAGGATCCCCTGTCCCCTGTCCTGCTGTTGGGGTCCCCTGTCCCCTGTCCTGCTGTCGGGGTCCCCGGTCCTGGATCTCTGAGCCCGGGAGGCCCTGGGGCAGTGCTGTGCACCTGCTCGAAGCTGAGAATTTGTGTGTGTCTGCCAGGTGACCAGTCGGAAGTACCCAAAGCTGAAAGAAGTGGACGATGTGCTCGGGGGGGCCGCTGCCTGGGAGAACGTGGACTCCACGGCAGGTGATGGGCGGCCTGGGCTGACGGCTAGGGGGTGTCCGCCAGTGTTCTCCGGACGGCCCGAGGAGCAGGAACCTTGGCAGAGTTAGAGGGAGATGTAGAGAGACCCAGAGTCTGGATCACTCCCCAAGTGCCCCCGAGGCCGGGGCTGGACAGGCCGTCTGGGGGAACCCACCACGTAGCCCTCCTCCGGGACGTGGCAGCAGATGGGCCCCGGTGTAGGCTGCTGCCCTGTGTTGCAGCGAGGTCCCCCAGGAGCAGATCTTCAGGGAAGTGAGCCTGTGTGCCGAGCGACCGGTCATGCAGCCCCGGACAGGAAGGCTGAGGCCAAGGCCCCCAGCACACAGTCACTGGGGTCAAGTTCACAGAAGGACTACGGAGAAACAGTTAGTAGAGTCTATTTTAGTACAATTTTTTTAGCAATATGTGGGACTGCAAATTATATAGGAAGAATGCAAAGATTTGATGATTCTTTTTGGTATTGAACTCATAAATTTTTTTTTAAAGATTTGTTTATTTTATTTTATTTTATTTGTTTTTTTTTAAGTGAGTGACAGTCTCTTTTTTTTTTTTTAAAGATTTATTTTTATTATTTTTTCATTGGAAAGGCGGATATACAGAGAGGAGAGACAGAGAGGAAGATCTTCCATCCGATGATTCACTCCCCAAGTGAGCGCAACGGGCCGATACTATGCCAGTCCGAAGCCAGGAGCCTCTTCAGGGTCTCCCACGCGGGTGCAGGATCCCAAGGCTTTGGGCTGTCCTCGACTGCTTTCCCAGGCCACAGGCAGGGAGCTGGAAGGGAAGCGGGGCTGCCGGGATTAGAACCAGTGCCCATATGGGATCCCGGGCGTGCAAGGCGAGGACCTTAACCACTTGCGCCACCGTGCCGGGCCCAAGATTTGTTTATTTTTATTGTACAGTCAGATATACAGAGAGGAGAGACAGAGAGGAAGGTCTTCTGTCCAATGATTCACTCCCCAAGCGGCCGCAACGGCCAGAGCTGAGCCAATCCGAAGCCAGGAGCTCTGCCTGGTCTCCCACACAGGTGCAGGCTCCCAAGGCTTAGGGCCGTCCTCGACTGCTTTCCCAGGCCACAAGCAGGGAGCTGGATGGGAAGTGGAGCTGCCGGGATTAGAACCGGTGCCCATATGGGATCCCAACGCGTTCAAGGCAAGGACTTCAACTGCTATGCTATCGCATTGGGCCCTAAACTGATAATTTTAAGGTTTATTTATTTGAAAACCAGGCAGAGAAAGGGAGCCGTTTGCTCCGCTGGTTCACTGCACTAAAGGATGCAGTGGCTGGAGCCGGGCTGGTCCAAAGTCAGGAATCAGGAGCTGCTTCAGGTGTCCCACGTGGGTGCAGGGGCCCAAGTGCTTGGCTGTCCTCTGTCGCTTCTCAAGGAGCTGTATCCGAGGAGGCGCAGCCAGGACTTGAACCAGCCCGCTTGTGGTAGGCTTGGCATGTTATGTCCCCTGTTGCACGCTGTTACATTTAGAAGCAGTGATGCAGCAGCCTCACACTCTGCCAAGTCATTCTGTCTGTAGAAGCTCTGGTTTCCTAGGCTAGCCCTCACTGTCCTAGGTTTCCGAGGCTAGCCCTCACCGTCCCTGATTTCCGAGGCTAGCCCTCACCTTCCGTGTTGGCACCAGCTTTCTGTGCTTAAGAGTTCTTGAGAAGGCATGGGGGAGGGGTGTGGGCTGCGTGTGCCAGTCACCCACCTGGGGACCTGGGGAGCCTTGGGCTTCTGGGCATTTGAGGAGGCAACTACACGGATGGAGGAGCTCTAGGATTTTGTACATTTCAAATAATAACAAAATAATTTTCATCGAACACAAAATTTTTGGAAATTTATATGGAGAAATGGAATTAAAAGATAAGTTTATTCAGATGGAAACAGTGTGAATGTCTTGGTAGTGTTTTCATGGTGGAGATGCAGTGGAGCTGCAGGACTTCTGGAGAGAGTTGCTCCCTGGTGTTTCCATCGTTCCCTCTGCAGCTGCCTTCAGTGTTCTACTCTTTGTCTTTTTTAAAGATTCGTTTTTATTGAAAGTCAGGTTTTTTTTAAAGATTTATTTTTTTTTTTTTTTTTTTTTTTTTAAAGATTTATTTTTTATTATTTTTTATTGGAAAGGCGGATATACAGAGAGGAGATACAGAGAGGAAGATCTTCCGTCCGATGATTCACTCCCCAAGTGAGCCGCAACGGGCCGATACTATGCCGATCCGAAGCCAGGAGCCTCTTCCAGGTCTCCCACACGGGTGCAGGGTCCCAAAGCCTTGGGCCGTCCTCGACTGCCTTCCCGGGCCACAGGCAGGGAGCTGGAAGGGAAGCGGGGCTGCCGGGATTAGAACCGGCGCCCATATGGGATCCCGGGCGTGCAAGGCGAGGACTTAACCACTTGCGCCACCGCGCCGGGCCCTAAAGATTTATTTTTATTATTTTTTTATTGGAAAGACACATACACAGAGAGGAGAGACAGAGAGGAAGATCTTCCGTCCGATGATTCACTCCCCAAGTGACTGCAATGGCCAGAGCTGTGCCAATCTGAAGCCAGGAGCCTCTTCCGGGTCTCCCATGCGGGTGCAGGTCCCAAAGCCTTGGGCCGTCCTTGACTGCTTTCCCGGGCCACAGGCAGGGAGCTGGAAGGGAAGCGGGGCTGCTGGGATAGAACTGGCGCCCATATGGGATCCCGGGTGTGCAAGGCGAGGACCTTTAACCACTGTGCCACCGCGCCGGGCCCTGAAAGTCAGGTTTTTACAGAGAAGGAGAGACAGAGAAAGATCCCTCTCCTGCTAGAGCTGAGCTAATCTGGGAGCCAGGAGCCTCCTCCAGGTCTCCCACACGGAGCAGGGTCCCAAGGCCTTGGGCTGTCCTCCACTGCTTTCCCAGGCCACAGGCAGCTGGAGGCAGGGCCTTCAGGACACAAACCGGCGCTCATATGGGATCCCGGCTCTTGCAAAGCGAGAACTTAATCCACTAGGCTACCGCACCAGGCCCTCTACATGGACTTTTTATTTTTTGTATTTTGTTTTTAAAGGTATATTTATTGTTATTGCAAAGTCAGATATAGATTGAGGAAGAGACAGAGAGGAAGACCTTCTGTGTGTTGACTCGCTCCCCAAGTGACTGCAGTGGCTGGAGCTGAGTCGATCCAAAGCTAGGAGCCCAGGGATTAGAACCAGTGCCTATATTGGATCCCGGCATGTTCAAGGTGAGGACTTTAGCCACTAGGCCACTGCGCCAGGCCCTGCACGGACTTTTAAAGTCACCTTACACAGGCTTTGTCCAGTCTGTTCTTTAGGACTGCTTACCTTGTCTCAAGTGTTACAGCCATGAAACACGAGATTAGCTTGTGTGTTATTTCTCTGATCTGAGGAAAGTGGAAGCCAGAGGGCAGGAGGAATGTTCCAGGTCACACTCGGCCAGTCCTTTTGGTGTGAAAGGAAACCGCTTACTAAGTGGCTCCGAGTGACTTACTCATTTGAAAGGGTGCTGGGTGGGGTGGGGTGGGGTGCAGCTGAGATGGGGGATCCTCCATCCGCTGCTTCGTTCGCCAAACTGCTGGGGCAGCCAAGGCTGGGCCAGGCCAGAGCCCGGGCCTGGATCTCCACCCGCTCTTCCACACATGTGCAGATGTTCACTGCGTTCTCTCGGCTCCCGGGCACACCGCAGGGAGCTGGGCACAGCTGGAAGCAGCACTCATTATGGAATGTGGTTCATTTTTTGGTTTTTCTTTTTGCCAGAGCCGTGTCCAAAGTGTGAGCATCCTCGTGCTTACTTCATGCAAATTCAGACGCGCTCCGCCGACGAGCCCATGACGACCTTCTACAAGTGCTGCAGCGCCCAGTGTGGGCACCGCTGGAGGGACTAGGCCGTGCTGCTGGCGCTGGACTGCTGGTCAGCAATGCCGCTGTCACGGGC